AAAATATTTATAAACATTAATTATTCTTTTTCATTTTTCATTTCATTAATTTAGTGCAATTTGAATTCACAATCCAGTAACGAAAAATTCTTATCAGCTGCATCTTGTGCTAAAAAAACGTTTTCGCATTTTACAAACGTTTTCGATTTTAAGAACATACATATTCAGTTCTACAATTGCGCGCTAAAATTATTTTTAGTCTTTAAACTTATACTAACAGTTTTAAAAAAATTAATTAAAATTTTGTTATAATACTTTTTAATGTTTATACAATATTACAGTACCATTAAATATAATGTTATTTTTAATAATCATGCAATATTATCAGGAATGCAGACATAACCTTTGATTGCACACACCTTTCATTAATATTTCAAGAATATTACTTAATATTACTTAATATTATATATTACTTAATATTATATAATTTTAGTACAATATTCTTAAAATGTTACATTTAATATTTTAAAAGAATATGTCTAAAATATTACTTAATATCAAATAATATTATGCGCTTATAAGGATTGCAGTAACATTGCGTTACTTTAATAAACGTTACAGCATTACTGCAAGCTTCTGTGCTATATGACCTGCTATTCTTTCTAATTAAATCGCGAAATCATGATAATTTCGATAATTTCGATAATTAGAGAGATGCAAAAATTCTTCGAGGACGTGGCTTTTTCTTTCTAATTGATTCATGATGAGAATAAATAATGTCACTTCTATTCTTCTTTACGCGCGATATAAAGTCGAATTTACGAGCGCAAACTCTTACGCCACGCCGCGCGATACGGCTCTCCGAGGTTGATATCAGCCCGTATGAATATTCCGCGAGTGAAAAACGACGAGAGATCTACCTCGCGGATCGTTATACTAGGGAAGGGCGTATAAGAGAAGGCAAATGCGCTCTGTAAGCCGCAAGAAAATAATTAGGCACGTGTTGCGTGCCGCGTCGTTCAGATCCAGGAAGGCGTCATTCCCGTGTATATGCAAATTCTCGGCAATTGTACTCGTCGCGTTGCACCGACGTGGTTGTAAGTGCAATTTTCAAACTGTTCTCTGATTCATCGTGGCGCAAGTAGGCAGATATATATCGATAGATACGCTCCGCTTAGCCTCATCACCTTTGTTCGCCGTTCGTCGACTTGAAAACATGTCTTCAAAAAAGCAAAAGCAGATGAGAACGTTAAAAAAAATATCAAAAAGATAATCGCATACACCGACCGTGAGGAATACGTTAAAAAAATATTAATGCGAGGTCCGTATCGATTCCGGTTATAGAGCCTGATAGAAGTGCTCCCGGTGAGAATGCGGATGTATTGCGTTCAGTTCCGCTGCGACGATCAATAATGTCGACTGTGAATATCTAGCGACACTGCTCACCTGTTTGTAATTGTACCTGCCGCATGAGGAATTCTTTTATTCTGATTTGTTTTTATTATTATATATAAGGAGGAAATAGAAGAAAATCACGGAAGTAGAAGAAACTCAAATAAGACTTAGTAAGAAAGATGTATACGTGATTAGAGGTGACTCACATATGCGATTAAAGTAACATTTTAGCGATTAGAATATTTGACCAGTTAATCCCGAGAACAGCCGGATAAATATGGCTTATTCTTATCATGTGTAGTTGTTGAGAGAGATTTGCATGTGCACGCGAAACGATTCCACGATAGAATAATGAAATCGGCGAAATTGATCTTACGATAAAATTAAAATTAATTTTTATTTGTCAGACATTTCGGTGCATGAAACTTCTTTCGAGGAGGATTCATACATTTTAAAATTATTTAAGCAATTAATATTTAACACTATAGAACCGTCGATATTCCACTAAAACTGTCAAAGGTTAATTAATTTAATAATTTCCTTGCTTTT